TTGTGCAGCTGTTTTTTGAGTTTGCCTTTTCGTTTATTGTGCAGCTGTTTTCGGCTTGTCGGTATTTAATTACGTAGCAGCCGATTTTCGGGCTTGCATTTTACTTTCATTGCTGTGCTTGGATAGTGCTCCTTGCAGCTTTGCTGCTTGGGAATCCCAGGTGGCATTTTCTGCCTGACAGGGTTTCCTGGCCTGTTCGCTCTTTGACTTAAGTGTCAAGAGTGGCAATTTCAGCTTGACCTGACCTAGCCCTGTGAGCATGAAATGTGGGACGCACCGTGCGGCAGAGCTTGTTTGGCCCCTCTCCAGTTAGAGGACGGACATGATTTGTGTCCTTTTTTAGGACCAGATCACCTGAAAGAGGCCTAGACTGATGCTGCCTACCCTAATTTTTCTGTCCCTTCACAATGCTCGTTTGGCTGGCATTCAAAGAGGCAGGTAGCCTGTAAAACTTGTGGCTCTTAAGGCACGAAAGAGGACCAAAAGGAGCTCCACGGTTTCAGAGGGCATATCTGGGCAAGTGGCCCATCTTGCTTCTGAGCTGGAGGGGATGAAAGTCCCTTAGGGGCAAGTGTGGTGCTAGCCTGACTGGAGACCCTGACCAAGGGCAGAGCATTTGTTAGGGACTCTCTGCTTTGGATGACAATGCAATAATTCTGGCAGCATCTGGCACTGATTTTCGGGATCATTTTGACTCACGTCTGTCAGAAGCCAGCTCGCGCATCTCTTCTGCCTTGTTGCAGCTGGATGCTCCACAGGACCACCCTGCAGCTTCCAGTGGCTTGTTTCGGCGTCCTACTGCTTGACCGTCCTTCATGGTTCCCCCATCTGCAGAATACGTGAGGGAGGTTCATGCCTGTTGGGCGGACACTAAGGCCTTTTTACGGCCAACCTTTGATGGCAGGGTCCTGGTGGCCATGCAAGATGTGCCCAAATTTGGCATGGGACATATGCCTTCTGCTGAACCCTCCATAGCTCCTCTTGGTGCCAGATGAGACTTTGAGAGCTAATGCCAGGTGTCCTCGTCCTCAGTGCAACCCAGTCTCATGGGAAAATGTACCCCCACTACGTTGGTCCACACTGCAAAACGTAGTGGAGGTACATTAATGGCCATTTTTTTGTGGTACTGTTACGTTTCTTCTGCCTATACGCTTTCTATTGTTTAATCTCAGAAAGACTATTGTCAAGCAGAGGGAGCTTGGGGTAAACCTGCATCAAAAGAAGTCNGGTTCACACCGATGTCGAGCGGTTGAAGTTCCTTTGTCAGACCCCCCGGGATAACGGCAAGCACAGCGTTTATTTGTTTCACCATGTTTTTCACATCAGCTGTGAGATGGGCACGCATGGAGTCACAGATTAACAGTTTTATTGTTTTATACAGAATCCACGCCCACACTTCCACCTTTAACATTCTCATGGTGGTCTCAGCAACGTCCGCAGTAACAACACACATAGGGCGCACCACACTATAGGGCGCACCGCACATTTTGAGGGGAAAAAAAAGACGTTTATATGCGCCTTATAGTCGCAAAAGTACGGTTTAAGAAACTTTAAAACATGTAGGCAAGCTGAAATTCAATCCGACAGCAAGACCGTGATTTCATCCAAAACAATCAGACCATGCTAACTTCTATACGTCCTTGGACTTAATGGCGCCTTCCCTAGGGCCAGTGAGCGGAAGGTCTTGCTGTGAGACCCTTAAATTTGGAGTCTCCTTCATCATCGCTATCCTCCGGATTAGCAAGCATCTATGCTTATTTATGGGCTGACATTGTCTTCTCTCGGTTCTTGCAGCTGGTTCATGCTGTAGCTTTAAACTACTGGCTTGCCAGAACTAGTTTTGGATCTGTTTACATTTTCTCTTTGAGTTTTCATAGTTTTTTCCATTTTTTCTTATTCTAGTTATTTTTGACTGTATTTGACTTCTTAGGTATTTCTTGTTTACCCTCTGTTGCCCTCTTGTGTCACTCTGCTTTCCCCTGGCTCCCTTCTACATTCCTCTGTCAACATCTGCTCCCAATCTGGAGCCGCCTCTTTCATTTGACCACACCAGCACATTAAAACTTCAATGTTTTAATCATAAGAAAAGTTCAGTCATTAGAAGCACAGGGGAAAGTAAAAAGGACTGGTGTTTATTTTTTTTTCCAATAGCACCACTTTGGTTTTCCAACTGCACTTAACAATGAAAGTGAAACAGAAATATTGGACAGAAGCTACATTATTTGAGTAATATCATGTAGCAAAACAAAATATTTAAAGACTTTATAGGTTATAACTTTGGCTACAATATAAAAATAAATACAAATTAAGACAATAAAAATGTATTTCTGTATATGTCATAGATTTCACAATTTCCTCTTATGGATATAGTGGAGTATTGCAGGTTCTTGTACAGAGTTCTGGTGTTTCCTGTCACTGTGGGCTGCAGAGCACAGTAGTACACAGCAGAGTCAGACAAACGGAGATCCTGGATCATCAGATTAAAGGATTTACTGTTACTGTTGAGGACAGCAGTGAATCTGTCATTGAAATGTGGAGAATTTTCTCCTCCTGTTGGGAATCCCTTTAGCATGTACTTTGGATAACCATTGTCTTCCATTTTGTACCAGAACAAGGTGGGGGATGAATAACTAGTCTGGTATTCACATCCCAGAGTCACAGATTCTCCTTGAGCAGCAGCAACATGTCCTTCTGTCTGCGTCAC